GTCACCAACTCCTTCATTAACAGCTATGATTCATCAACCCAAACAACGTTATTATTATAAGAAACAGACGTAATGTTTTATTTCGTCATAAAATATCTTGAATAGCTAAGAGATGCTTTTGGTTTTCTATGTGCGCAGTCGATTCCAATATTTGCTTTCGAATCAATTTCCACAATAAGGAGTTGAGTTCCGTTGTGAAATGGATGACTGTGTTGATGGAGGTTATGAATCATGATCATTCTGTTTCTTATAATAATAACGTTGTTTGGGTTGATGAATCATAGCTGTTAATGAAGGAGTTGGTGACTGTTGATATGTAAAATAAGCTTGTTGGGATTCGACCGATAATTGACGAGACTTTTCAAAAGTATCGTACAGAACTTATTCAATCATAGCATGTTTTAAAAATTCATTCAATGTAGTCATTACGATTCACGCCGCAAGAGTTGTTTTCTAAAATCAGGATTAAGTCTACTCATCAAATGTTGAATTATAACTTGTTCTAACATATTTAGGTCAATTGCTCGACATAAATTAACAACATCATCACAATAAGATGTGACGGCTTCATCATACGATTGTGTTCGTTGTTTTAATGTATCAAATTTCGTATGAGCTATTGTTGTTGAAAAGTAATGATTTCGAAATGCAGCTTCGAAATCTGACCATGTTTTAGAAATAGATTCATGATTAACACACCATAGTCCAGCTGATTGAGTTAATTTGCCACGAACAATTTCAAGAATTTCATGATTATCCGATTCATCATTAGCTTTAGTAATATTTTTGATGCTTTTTAAAAATCGTTCGACATCCTCAGAAGGATGTCCGGAACAATTTGTTAGATCATCAAATCGAGCTTTACGAGCTTTTGCTAATAATGTTTGATCAACCATTTTATTTGAATTAGTATTTACTGTGGAATGTATTATAGAATCAGATGAGGAAGATGGATGAGACGAGGCATTAGTAGTAATAGCAGAGTTGGAACCGGGCCGGCAGACCGGCCGGTCACCGGCTAGCCCAATCCGGTGTAAAAGTTTAGACCGGCCGGTCTTTAGCCGGTCTACAAATATTTTCAAATCTGTTGCAGATATTGTTGTAAACTGGAATTAGAACAGTGCAGAAAAGTGATAACTTCAAATAAACAAGTAACAGAAATATGGAAAAGCTAGTGAAAATGACTTTTTCATTAAAAATATTTTGATTTACTGATAAACGTGTCTAAACCGCCCAGTTTTTTGTCGATTTTTCACCGTTCTCGAAATTTCTTGAAAACCGGCCGGTCTTTCTGCCGTTTTTCACCGGTCTAAAAAGATTTTTGGGTCGGCCGGTCACCGGTCGGTCCGGTCCGGTCTTCTGTTTTGAACCTGCCGGCCCGGCCTCTTATTTTTAGACCGGTTCCAACTCTGAGTAGTAGTGTGTGGAATTAGAGGTGTATTAGTTTTGTTAACTTGAGATCTGGTTCCGGAAGCCGTGATGAATGTAAAAATGAGTAAATGTGACGACATATAATTGAGTTAATATTAATGAAATATAAAGATACAATCAAATGAACGAAATTCTAATTCGGAAGTTCGATAGTGATTTATTTAGATCGCTGAAAATCGTAAAACTTATTTTGTTCCCCTCCTTTTGTAAAAAACAAACTTTTAACAAGTGCATCCTGATTTGTGCTTTCGAAAGATAGACATGACGGTTTACTTAAAGTATCTCGGATGTTATTGAATCGGACAGTTAATACGCATAAAAGAAAGTTCTTCACCTATGAATTGACTATAATGTAAGACTTACTACGACACTCGAGATCCCTTTCTGATGAAGATAAGTTAACCCAAGATTTTTTGAAAATCTCTGATTTCTGGCTAGATAGAACCGTTTTCTGCAGTGAAGATTCCACTAATTTTTTGGAATAATTTTTTTTCTTGGAATAACGCCTTGGAAAAATCAGAGGAATAATAGAGAAGGCAAAAGTATAGAAAAACTTCGTGTCTAAGACTTCAGTTTTTTACTACTAGTAGCCCTAACTTTTCTGAACATATTTTGTTACAAACATATGCCTTGATTTTGTACTTCAGGTAGCGCCCGCATCTATTTTCCTGACTTTACTTAAAAAGTCCATGTATTTGTATGGATGTGTTCTATTTAGGAACAGAAAAAGCATGTCGTGTTCTAATTCAGAACAGGACAAAATTAGAACACGAATATACGTGCAATAATTCCACAATAAGTACACGAAAACGTGATCTTTTACTGGGAAAAGTCATATCGTTCGATTCGGCAGACTCGTCTGAGTATTTCTATATAAAATTTTGAAGGTTTCATTGAACTTTGTAAGCAAAAAATACTTTTTTCTTCAACTTGATTGAAATCCCCATGTCTTTGTATGGACGTGTTCCATTTAGGAATAGAAAATGCACGGCGTGTTCTAATTTGGAATAGACAGAAAAGAAAAGAAATTTATAGTAACCTTCATTCTTGTCTTAATTTAAAACAAATGAGTGAAAGAATCTTAGATATTTTTACATAGATCGATAGCCCTGACTCTTCTCTACTCGGGAAACTGAAAACTTTTCTTCCACGTTTAAAAACGGCTTCAAAAATTAGAAAAGAGTCAACATGAAACATTTTCGTGTTCTAACTGAGGCCAGTGACTCTATATGACGACTGAATGCGTTCTACATATATGTATTTCATTTTATCTTTTATTTTGAATTAACTATCGTCTGTCTCATTTGACTGATGATGTATTTTTGAATAAAGACGAAACGTCTCTAACAAAAAATAGTCTATTTTCATGATGATTATAAAGGTGGTTTATCTCTTATTCTCTGTATTGAAATTCTTCACCTTAAAAAATGACTCAAATTTATCTAAAACTATATTGGAATCTAAAATTGCTAAAACTTAGGCATTTTTGTAACAAAATTATCCAAAAAGAGGAAAAATCACCGGAAACGAGGACAAAGAGGATGGGTTCTGAGAAAAAGAGGATCCCTCACAACTCAGTTCGCGTCTTTCAGATAAACGTTTATCCAAAATTCTATTAGGTTTTTTTATATCGTATTTCTTTTTGGAGAAAGGTGAAAAAAAGAAATCTTTTCTACAAGAAAAGATTTGGTATGAAACCGGAAAGTCAGTTTATACTCACAGAAAACTTTTTCTCGTGGAGCATACCACTGAGTGTGGTACAGTACGAATTTCTGGTAGATTAGTTTGTGGGCCAATAATGATTGTACTTTTGGAATGATGACCTGGAACAGAAAGAATCACTTTTGTATAAATCCAATAGATAACCAATTTAGAGTGAAGTGCATACGTTGTTTTGGAACACCACATTTTCTCATATAAGCTAACAGACAGTCCGGTCTCACGACCGATATCCCGATCGGGATAAATATCCCGTTCGGGATATATATAATCAATCAATCATTTTTCTGGCCTCCGCTTAACAACCAAATAAAAAACGGACAATGCCATTTGAAAGAGGATTCAAAACTGATTCAGATTCTATGGGGATCGGCTATATGCATCGTTTGGGGTACTGCATAAAAATTCGATCAAAAATCGCGTATTTTGATCGGGATATAAAATATATCCGGAACGGGCTATTTTTGATTTTTTTCTGAAAAACTTTCGTTTTGGAAAAAATAAAAGCTGATTACTGAAATCCGAAACCGCCATCGGATAGAGCACTCAAAACTGCATATGAATCCATGGGGGTCTCCAAAGTATCGGATGATGCTAACCTAC